GTCTGGCACGTTTGGGTGCTTGAGACGGCAAGACCCGGCTGGGGTGCCCCATAACCCCGCTGCTGAGATTGCAGGGTCTCAGGTGTCCACCTTGCTTTGCCTGCATCATCGCTAGGCTTTGCCTACCATTTTAACGAAAGCCCTCTTTACAGAGTACATCGAAAACCTTGGGTCACCCCGCATGTTAGGGACCAAAAGCAGAAGGCAATCAATGCCTCTGCTCAGAACGTTAAGCCTCTTCTGAGTCAGCACTGCATCCAAAAGATCTTCCTTTTGGCATTTTTGGCATCTGGCATTTCTTCAAGGACAAGTTTCCAGTCCTTCTGCTCATGCTTCTTTTTAAAGCTCCAATACAGCTCTTCAGATCTACTATGAAATCCAAGCGGGATTACAGTTTTCAGAGGAACATCGCCTCATGGTGATTGATTAGAAGCTCTGTGCGGGGCTTTCATTCATTTTTCAGCATCCCTTAGCTTCTGTTATGACTGTTTGTTTGTTGAAAGACATTGGTGGGTACACAAAGACTGTTGAGGGTCTAGGTACAGGTCTAGATATATTTCCTTGGTGGATCTGGCAGTGCCCCTTTCCTGAGCATCACCCTGTGCTAAAAATGGACTGTCGTCTGACCACCCCTGATTCCTTAGCAACCACCGCTCTGCTGTCTGTGCTAGTGTGGGCCTGAGCTTGCTTGCATGGGTATATGTTGTCTCTGCAGGGCAGTTTGGACACCAGGTTTACACCGTAGCTCTGCTACTGTAATTTGAATAGATGCCATGGGCTGAAGGCACCAGGGGTGTGCAAACTGCAAAAGCAGCCTTAGGAACTATCTTTGTTTTTATAGACAGGACCACACCTGAAATAAACCTATTAATAGCATGTGTGGGAGTAGACACTTCTTCCCCTCCATAGCATTTCTTCTCTCACCTTTGACTGGAACATTTTATAGCCATCATTCCTCTTTTTACTATGTATTACTTGTCAGAAAAATTCAGTAAGTGAGCACTGCTAGTGCAGATCCAACAGATTTAACAGCTAATACTGCTCTGAGGCCGTGGGTGAAATAAGGTCAGTCCAAGAAAACTGTGGCAGTTAAAACTGCCGTGGACTATATTTTTGCACAGTTTAATCTGCTCCCATTATCAGCCGTGCTCAGGGTGATGGGAATTCCATGGGTGTTGTGATATTAATTTTCTACTCTGTGTTGTCTTAGATTGTACAATAATAGAATGAGCTGCTTTGTGTTTGATGTGCAGCTCTCTGCAGGCTGGGAAGAACGGCAGTGACAGCAGGCCCCATGCAGCTACAGATGCAGGAGTGTGTGCCTCAGTTGTTATGTGGGGTGGGGTGAGCTGAACAGAAGAATACACACAAATCTGAAGTGGCTGCCAAGTGAGATTTAGCAGAGCCATTCACCTGAGTCCTGCTGCGCTGACAAGTGCAGTGTTTGGAGAGGACAAAGCCAAACGTCACATAGAAACACATCCATCACATAGAAATGTGTTCATTAAAAAATGTTTTGGGAAATTCTAGATTCTTTTCAGGCCTGGTTTTAGGTAATTATTCTTTAACCCACACCTGAACAATTATATCTTTGTAATTAACCTTACAACAACCCTCACTTCCCTGGAGTGACAAACACACTCCCAGGAAAAAGCTTTTCATGGCTAACATTGCCCTGGTCTCCACTGAGAAGCATCAGCTGCTCTTTCTGGATGAGGTTGCTGACTGCCTTTTCTTAGCTGGAAGGCCAGCCTGGCTGTGCCAGTGCCTGGCCACCATGGCAGCAGGCAGGGGATGTTTGGCTCTGCCAAATGTGCAACATGGGCAGAGCCACACACTCACCACCAAGCAGGGACAAGCACAAGCTCCGACCTGTCTGAAATGCAGCCAAGCAAAGAGGGTCGAGCTGGTGAAGGGGGAATGGTTTAAACATTCAGCACATTGCAGATATTTCAAGGAGACTGGGAAGGGGTGTTCAGAGGAG